TTTTTGTTTTTGTTTTTGAGACAGAGTCACACTCTGTAACCAGGCTGGAGTGCAGTGGTGCAATCTCAGCTCATTGCAACCTTTGCGTCCTGGGTTCAAGAGATTCTCCTGCCTCAGCCTCATGAGTAGCTGGGACTACAGGCACCCGCCACACTGCCCAGCTAATTTTTGTATTTTTAGTAGAGATAGGGTTTCATCATATTGGCCAGGATGGTCTCGATCTCTTGACCTCGGCCTCCCAAAGTGCTGGGATTACAGGTGGGAGTCACTGCGCCTGACCATATTGTTACTTTTCTTAATTTTTTAAATAATTCTTCAACTTTTCTTACTATCCATTATAGAAATTATTTTAGCAACTGCAAAATTACTGTAGTTGGTGCTAGATTTGGAGAGGCAGTCCACCCTAAATATGATCATCCTGTTAATATGTACTCACTTTCTGTTTTCACTCATTAAGAATATTTCCCCTAGTAATGTTTCTCTTGTTAAACAAAAGGAATGATTTTCTTCTAGAGTATGATATTATGCCTAACAAATGCCTCTTACTACCTTTAATTAACAAATAATATAAACTTACATGCCTATTCCCCGCTTCCCACCAGTTTCTTGTTGCTGTACATCACCTTCTCTTTGTACACTCCCTAACTTAGACACTTAGGTAGATATTATGTGTTTTAAAGATAACATGAACTTTTGCTTTGTAATATGTTAAAATGTTAGGTATCTTCTGGTGCTGTTGGATTAGCACAAAGAGCTTTGGATGAAGCTACCAAGTATGCCCTGGAAAGGAAAACTTTTGGAAAGTTACTTATAGAGGTAATTTTAATACTGCTTGCTTTGTTCAAATGTAAAGACACTCATTATCATTTAATATTTAGAAATGATTTTTAAACCACAAACTAATCAATTTCTACTTTGATAGCAGGAAGATAATGTGGTTTTATCAAGATGAGTTTCAAAGACAAATTTCTTTTTAGATTGTGCCACTAACTATTGGTTACTTCTGTATCTGACACTGTGCTATGTGGTTTTTTTTGTTTGTTTGTTTGTTTTGAGATGGAGTCTCGCTTTGTTGCTCAGGCTGGAGTGCAGTGGCACAGTATCAGTTCACCACAACCTCCGCCTCCCGAGTTCAAGCAATTCTCCTGCCTCAGCCTCCCGAGTAGCGGGAACTACAGGTGTGCACCACTATGCCTGGCTAATTTTTGTATTTTTAGTAGAGATGGGGTTTCACTATGTTGACCAGGCTGGTCTCGATCCACCCACCTCAGCCTCCCAAAGTGCTGGGATTACAGGAATGAGCCACCAGGCCCGACCTTGTGCTATGCATTTTAAATACATTTTCTAATTCTCTCAGTAACACTTTTTTGAGTAGTATTATCTCTTTTAAGGATCAAGAAACTGAAGCTCAGAGGTATCAAATGATTTGTCCAAGGCTACACAATTTATAAGTCACAGATCCAGAATTCTATTTTATACTTTTTTTTTTTTTTTTAGCGG